ATTATATCAACCATATAAAGTATTTATTTAAGAATGTTAACATTTGCTACCAAACGTTCGAATATCATATGATGTTTCTTACATGTTAAATGGTATTAAACGAATAATTGGGATATGTAATGTTGGAATGATTTTTGTTTAAAAATAATTCGTCACGGTTTACTGATATTCGCTCTTCGTAGCACAAGCCATGATAACGTCGTTTTATGATAAACGATAGTCTCGTGTTCCACAAGGTAACATATATAATCCTTTATCGTTGAGTATGTAGTTCAAGGCTAATCCGTATACATGTATGTTCATAACTAAAACAGCGAGACCAAAACAAACATACAAAATCATCGGTATGATATTTGCTTCCGGAGGGCACGAACAATACCTCAAAAAACAATTTGAGATTATTTCAGACTTAAAAGGTTTCCAATATCACTGATGATAAAAGTAATTAAAGTTAAGAATTCCTTCAATTTGAACTATTTATTATTTCTCTTGTCCAAAAATCTCTGCATGGGACATTTTTCCACATCAGTGGTATCCTTCATCTTCAATATAGTACACATCTTACATATATCACACATTTTACATGGACACGTCAAAGAAGAATAACACCGAGATTCCTTCATTTTATCAAACGCTTTCTTTCCCTTAACGTTATGTCGACTTGCACTGTTGAAATGTATAGATGCTTTAAAATAATCACCGGATTTTAAACATGATCAACCAGTTACAAGTGCTCCTAGTCAAATAACGCTATAAATCGCATGGGGATTAAAAATTAAAAAATAATTTATTTATTTTTAGAGAGAGGCGAGGACAAAACGAGAAATTTGAAGCAAAATTTGCTCCGGAACTATATCAACCATTAAAAGTATTTATTTAAGAATGTTAACAATTTGCTACCAAACGCTCGAATATCATATGATGCTTCTTACATGTTACATTTGGTATTACATGAATAACTGGTATATGTAATGTTGGAACATTTTCTGTTTAAAACAATTCGTCACGGTTCACTGATATCAGCCCTACGAAGCACAAGCCATTATAACGTTGTTTTATAATTAACGATATCCTAGTGTTCTACAAAATAACATATATAAGGCAGCTAATTTATTAGCTTAATTTATGCCCTGAAAAACTCAAAGAAACCTATTGATCTAAGTTGATGATTATACTCCCCAATTATTAAGGGAATTAACTTTTAAAATTATGTTTGTATGATTTTATATTAAAAGGTAGGCATTTCAAATTCAAATTATTTTATATAATCGGATGAGAAACTTTTCCGCTAATTTGATTGGTCAGGCCATATTAGGGAACAATCTTGACACGCATGCGCACTTTGTAGCGTCACATCCAGCTTAAGCAGAAAAAAGTTTGCGTTCAGCCTCCACGAGAGAACTTAATTGATCTTATAGTTAAGAAGTTTACGGGATCAATTTAAAACCCACCCTCTCCACCCTTCTAAACAAAAAATAAAATAAATAAATAAAAAACATTTCTTCATTTTGGAATTGGCGGATTTTTACAACCCCACTATGGCTAAAGGTCAATAATAGATAATTAAGCAAAACAGTGTGTATTGATGTACATTTTGTAATCTAGGTTATATAAGTAAACTTGTGATCAAATGTACGTCATGTAATAATTTGTCATTAAATGTCACCTTCGGTGGCCATTTTCAACTTCAATTTGCTGTTGGGTTATCTTTGAGTTGAAGGAGCATAAAAACCTTTATAGTTGAGTTTATAGGTGCATAACTAACAGCGAGAGAAAAACAAACATAGAAAATTATCGGTGTGATATTTGCTTCCGGAGGGCACCATCGATGTCTCAGAAACCATTTGGGATTATTCACCTCGTATTATTTAAGACTTAAAAGGTTTCCGATATCACTGATGATAAAAGTAGATAAGGTAAAGGATTCCTGCAAGCTAAACTTTATATCATTTCTCTTGTCCAAACATTTCTGCACGGAACCTTTTTTCTTCATCTTGATTAAAGTACACATCTTACATATATCACATATTTTTACATGGACACGTCAAAGAAGAATAACACCGGGATTCCTTCATTATATCCAACGCGTTATTTCCCTTTATGTTATGTCGACTTGCACCGTTGCAATTGATAGATGCTTAGTGCGTTTAAGCATAAGGAGCATGCTCAAGCTTTAAAATATCCACAGGATTTTAAACAAGATCAACCAGTTACAAGTGCTCCTAGTCATATAACGCTATAAATCGCAGCTAACACAGACAGAATTCACTAAGCAACACCGGTAGTTCTTCATTAGTCGAACATGGTTTTATGGAGTAAATGTAGGATTGTCGTTTACCTCGATAACGCTGGTATTAATTTCAATGTCTGAATGATTTGTTGTAGATTTCCTTTTTAGCCAAGAAGCTAGTAAGAACATGCCAGTCGCGAATCCGAGACCACCAGACATACAGTAAAAAGGTTTCGTGTAGGATCCCGTCAGATCAACAAACAGTCCTTTAAAAATAAGAGAATACGGAAATGTTAACACAAAACGTTATTTGAACTAACAAAACAATAACACCTACGCAAAATATGAACAAAGAAACCCTTTGAAAAGTATAAGGATAATATGACCAGGCGCCCTTAAAGGACAAGCGTCCTCCGTACAATTAACATACCCGTCACGAAAACCCAGGCCTAATCAAAGCCACGCTACGTCCCAACGGTGGGAATCCAGCAACGACAACGTATTTACAATACACAAAAATAAGCACCAAAAAGATATCGATCTTCGTGTTGCACAGAGACATATCATTATTCGCAATTATATTATGGTAGCGGTCACGAAACTTGTCCTTATTGCTCATCTACGGGTATCTTTTGAAGCTCCGTGTAACAATATTGTCCATCATATATCAAGGAAATAATGATATTCTTAGCAAGCCCTTGTATGCCGAATTACCTGCGACACCTAAATACTGTAAGCTGGGGACATGGGGATGTTACTATAAGGAAAGGGAAAATTAATCAAATAGCTATTTTTAATGATTTTGGATTCAAAAGATGGCCACTGTGGGCTCTGATTGTCTGACACATTCACGTGATGGTATAACTTCAATTTTATGAAGCCTACTTTGTTGATGAGTTGATGGAGTGATGTAGACCATCGAGGTTTAATTTGCAAATATAACATCCTGATGTCACGATAAGTCAAAGGCAATATACTAAATTGAGGTCAAGTTGTACTAACCAGCAATGGGTCCTGCAAGGCAATTACTGATGCCCATGAGCGTCATAAGTACTCCTAGTCCCGCAGAGTACTTATGAAGCCCAACGAGCTTCATGGTTGTCATAGAGATGGTTGTGACGCCAACACCTAACGCCATCCCCAAACAGACCAAGAGGATAATATAATGTATATACGTGTCTGCATGAGGAAGCAACGCAATCGCTGTTGATCCGATTACTGTAAAACACGCAGGAATAATAAGAACGCTCGTGTGAGGAATATACTTTTTACATAAACCGGGAACAAATCTGCACAATGCGTTTCCAAGTTGTAAATAAAGATACAATTGTATCCTTGTGTCAGATTCAAATCCGTTCGTCGTTAGGAAATCGATGATAAAAACCATTAATGAGTTTATGACCGGAAGTGTGAAGCACATGGCTACTGTGTATGTTAAATAAACTTTACTGGTGACCAATGACCGTATTGATTTCGTAAAACCGTCCTCGTTCGAAGTCGATTCGGGGTCAAAATCTTTTGATTTCTTTGACGTATTTTGTGATATGCCGATTGACAGTGGTTTGCAAACAGAAAAGAAACATATCATATTTGCAAAAAGTCCTCCGAAAATAAGTAGACACCCTCTCCAACCGAACTCTTCTATAAGGAAGTGTAAGAGATAGGGAATTACTATTGAACCGCATCCTGATCCAAATGAGAGGAATGATAACGCCATTAGTTTAGATTTCCCTTCAAAGTATTCTCCGACTGTTGTAAATGCTGAGATGAAAGTAGCAGAGAAACCAAATCCTGTTGACGAAAATGAAAATCATATAGGAATCTACATTTTTACAAAATACTCAAAGCTTAGTATAGCTTAGCAGTCATGCTAAACAAAACAAATTTAAACTTAATCTCATGTTGTAATTTGCAAAGTCATTGATTTTGGCCCATGAAATTTTTTTCCCTCCTTTTGATATATTTGGTTGTAACAGATCATCGCGGTATTTAGACAAAGTAGAACTACATTTTGCCTAGTCGGTCCTAGTCAATCAAATGTCAACTTGTCCTTCTAATCGGACTTCTTCGTGGGATGAAGACTAAGGAAATCGCTTGAAGAATATAGTTTCAGTTGTCAGTTTGAATGTTATATCGGGAATATGAAACCGATAAGTAGCTTGCCTAGGGCATTCGTACATGTTGGATAGTCCGAATTTATCGTCAACTAATAACACTTTGTTTGATACATCGTTGGTTATTTTACATGTGAATAATTGTTTACAGATGATATTGATATTTTTCATCCCATTTAAAGTTTAATATGGAAGTAAAAGTCTTTCAGTCGTACCTGAAACTAATCCAAGGGTAACAATGAGATGAGGAATACTTTCGGCAAAGAAAGAGAAAACCAGACCGAGCGTCGTAACTATGCTTCCGGTTATCCCTGTCACTCTAGCTCCATATTTGGAAACAATCCTCCCGCACAAGGCTCCTGTGTGTATTAAAGTTAAGTTAACGCTTAAAATAAAATATTTATATACAAATAAACGTTTAAAATTACCTCGTTATTCGTTTGTTTCGAATAGCAATTTACCTCCATGATTCAACTCTGCAAAGGTACTGAAAATGTAGGGAACATCATCAGACAAAATGTATGAATATATTTTTCTTTTAGTAAAGAATACAATTAAATTGAATGTCGGTAAGACACCCGAAAATCTCGAAAATTGATTCGAAAAATAGACCGAGCTTGAAAATAAACCTCAGATTCATTGCATTTAACAGATAAGTTGGCTGTAAAAATAAACATTTCATTCTAGGAATCTCATTTTCTGTGTCGGTCTAAAAAGGTTTTCCACGTACATTTAGAAAATACGCAACTGCTGGTTTCTTGCTTTTATGACTGCCATGAAAGAAGGATTGTTTAGAAAATCAACCTTAGACTCGTTACTGAAAATAATGATAAGCTGCGGCTTATTTCAGAAATTTTAGGGCGAGTTAACTGGTAAAGAGGCTGAAAGGTTATATACTAAACATAGGCTATTCCATTCCGTAAGTTTGAAATTAATAATATGTTTAAATTATCTTTCAATGATTATTTTTAAAAGTGTTGAATAAAGACGATTGCGAAATATTTACATTCATACACATGTACCAGCTTACCTGCTATATATAGCACCCCGATCGTTATCGACTGTACCAAAGCAGTTTCCGCCTTACTTTTCTCAAATGTGCGAAGGAGCGCAGGGTTAAGGACAGACATATTGAAGGGAAATCCAGTGCACAAAAACATGATAAAAAATCCAGACATCAACACAAACCATTTTCTATATAACGAATCCGGCTTAGTTGGCTGTGCGTCTTTAGCAGAACTGGAATGATTCGAATAAAACGCACGAATAAGACAAAGAGAAAAAGTACATATAGATATATACATAGATAGCATTGCATATGTCACCGATTGCTCAGTAAAACACCAACACGGACAAGTTGCGTTTTTTTTATATTCTTTTACTATATCCGAGAAACCGGCGACAGATGGCGCCCAACGTAATTTTGGAAAGGAAGACCTGGTATCGTTCTTGATGGAGTACGCCTATACTATATAACCAGTTTGCAGAAACGGGATATAGGGAGGAGCTCTTCTCCGAAGGAGGGAATAAGAGTGCAATAGGAGACAAACATGGAACCCAGGACCAGTACCGTACGCGTGTGAAACTTTGCCTCGGCATGTTGACGTTGCGAGGGATATTGTGGTATTTTGTGTGAACTGTGTTGTAAACATATGTAATTGTGTGGTTGTAAGGGTAGTGTCGTTGTTGTAAGTATGTGTTCGTGGCGCGTGGACGGAGGTAGACCATGTATTATTCAGCATATGCCATGTTTTGAGTCCAAACTACGTTTATTTGTTGATATATACCTATTTATCGCTAAGGGTACGATATTGACATGGAGTTGTGACAGAACATTGACAGACAATTGTTGACTAGGCAACTGTAAATAGATGTTAAATGTGAATATATGTGTAACTTTGTGTTCAATATATAGGTTATACAACTTAAAATTTATCTTAGCAATTTTGTTGTGCAATTACTGACTTCTATACTAACTGTACTAATATTTTGATTAAAAATACAGTAGATTTAGTATTAACAGCAAGAACAGAAAGAAGTTTGCAGCAGTGTAAACATATTTGCAGATTTTTTTTGCAGAGTTTGTGTGTGAGTAAAAAGTAATTAAGTACAGTATCAAATAGTACATAATTGAAGAAATCTTGTAGGTAGGGGGCTCCCCAACCACTGGAAAGTTCTCGATTTATGTTTACTAGTTTATCAATCTTTCTTTTATGCTTATAGGCTGGTATAAAAATATATGGGAAAAAAACTTGTAGGTAGGTGGTTCCAAAACTACAAGGTTTAATTTGTTCTCAGACAAATGTGATTTTTTTCAGGTTTGATATTTGTGTGAATTTAAGGTTAACAGAGATTACAGACCTCAGGGAGATACTGTTCCTATATCACCTGGGTAGCATGGAATCTTTTACCTAGCTGTATTATAAATACAGCGTGTATTGATAGTTATTGTGTGGTAGGTAGGTTATATTTGAGGAACCTTGTCGGTAGGGATTGGCCCAACCTCTTGATAATTTATTGTTATATTTGTTGATAGGTAGGCTATATGAGATTATGTGAATAAACTTGTCGGTAGGGATTGGCCCGACCACTTGGTAACACCTTGGATATATAGTAGATAGTGATATATATAACTAAAACGGAGTTAACATGTGCATGTCTTGTAGGTAGGGGATGCTAAATCACCTGTCTAGCTTGGGCAAGTCTGGTTGATCTTTTATATTTTGTGTTCATATTTGTTTTTGTCATTTTCTATATATAGTTGTATTTTGTGAATATTTATTTTCAAGTTAAAATGAGTCCTTAAGGGAGACGGGGAGGTATGCTATTATCCTGCTTTCTGAGAAAGCAGTTAGCACTCCTAAGGTTATTCCACAAAAAGATCCATATTTAGGAGAGTTTGAGGATGAGGAAGATGAGGCCCATTTACATAGATTTACCCACGTACCTAAGATACATTATTTTTCTGGTGATGATTCACCACAAAAGGGGGATATCACATTTCAAGAATGGCGGTTTGATCTTCATTGTCTTGCCAACGACCCTGAAATATCAGAGAGCCTGCAAGTGCAAGCAATAAGGCGGTCGTTACGGGGAACTGCCCGTAGAATGCTTATAATATATAATATTGGGGGAGAGGGCCACAGTTCTAAAAATGTTAGCCAGATTAAAAACATTATTTGGGGATATATCACCAACGGTATGATTATGCAGGAGCTTTTTAATTGCTATCAGAAACCAGATGAATCAGTGTCAGTCTTTAGCTGTAGACTAGAAAACATGTTGCAGTTAGCTATTGACAATAGATATCTTGACAAGAAAGCAAAATGTGAGTTGCTAAGGCACAAATTATGGACGTCTTTATCTTTAGACAAGCTAAAGAGTCAAACAAGACACAAATATGATACTTTGAAAGATTTTGATGAACTGCTCAGGGAGATTCGTAGGGTTGACAAGGAGATAAGTATAACCAAGAGTACAGGAAGTGGTGTCACTGCTACCAATACAGGTAAGAAAGCCCAGCATAATGTGATGTCAGGTGAACAGACTTAAGAACATGCGAAGAGGTTCAATACTCTTAATATTCTAGAACGTTTAGAGAAAAAGTTTGATGATAAATTGGATAGTATTTTGAAAAACTGGATGGTCAAAAGTCAGGTAACCAGAGGGCTGGTGACAATAACAAAGGTCAGAGAGGCAGAGGAAACAGGAATGGTCAAAGTTAGCAAATAGGTCAAGGTCAAAGACATGGTCAAAATGGAGCTATTTGACAGGGTCAAGGTATGTACAGCCAAAGCGCGTTAAGGTCGCTGCTGCTGGCCAAGCTGGGACCTGTAATGTACAAGGACAAAGCCAACATTTTTTTATTCGAATGGTAAGTGTGGCAAATGAAAGCATAGTATCAATAACTGTGAGATGAAGGCGTTAGTGGATAGTGGATCTATGGTGAAAACCATATCAGTCTGGTTACCTTAATTTAGAGGATAAACCTGAGTTATTGAGTTTAGATGATTTAGGCTTGGAGGTATCAATCGCGGATAATTCTAGTCCATGATATATGGGTACATTGAGTTTGTTTAAACTGTACCATGATTGTCTAATGATGATATTAGCTTNGTTGACATTTTTGTAACTCAATTTTACTTTTGGAAATGGGGTTGAAGAAATGATATGTGACCAAGCATGTTATCGAGAAATGTAGTTCGTCACATCTGAGAAATACATATTGCTCCATATGAGTCTGCAATTGTTGACTGGTTAGCCAGAGGTTTAGGCGGTCACATGAGTGAAGGGGTAACAGAAGGTTTAGCCGGGAGTACCCGAGCACTTAAGATAATTGGAAGCTGTACAGCTGGAATTGCACTATACGCAGGACATACATACAAACAGACCGAGGCAGACTTTTTCGCTTTGAATAAGAAAGGAAAGTCACTGTTGATCAAGAACACTGCTATTGAGTTGGGTGTTTTAAGACTTGGACCTAAGGAACCACTTGAACTAAAGCAAGTTGGTTTTTCACAGAATCACGGAAACTCAACAGCTTTGAATTAAAGATACCAGTTGATAAAGAATTGATTCATGTAGTTCTGAAAATTCGAAGGATGCCATACAGGTTAAGAAAAAGATTGGGAGAGAATTTTCAAGAATTAAAAGATGCGGATATTATAGAGCCAGCTGAGGGACCAAGTAGCTTGACTACCGGTGGTGATGGTGTTCAAACCTAATGGAGATATACGCTGATGGGTGGATCTGAGGCAGGCAAATCGAGCTGTAGCTAGGGAAAGGTATCAAACCACTACGGTCGAAGAAGTGCTCCAAGAACTAAATGGTAGCTACGTGTTAAGAAAACTTGATATTGACAAGTATCATCAGATTGAATTGGCAAGTTATTAAAGAGGAATCGGTCAAGAGGAATAACAGCATTTATCACTCTCACAAAGGTGTATTTCAATATAAACGTCTAATGTTTGGAGTAAGCTGCGCATTCGAAATGTATTACCGTGTTTTGACACTGGTATTGGATTAATGTAAAAGTGTGAACAGTATGTTCGACGACATAGTGGTGCATGGTTCATCAAAGGAGGGAGATGATGATAGATTAGACAAGGCATTATCTGTACTCCAGGAAAGATGCCTGACCCTGAACTATGAGAAGTGCAAATTCAGTCTTCCTAAAATTGTATTGATGAGCTACTTTTGGTCAGCAAAAGGAATTGGGTAATCAGACACCAAAGTTGAGGCAATATTTAATGCTCGACAACCGGAAACTGCAACAGAAGTAAGCATTTTCTTGGCTTGGTATAGTTCACAGGCGGACTTATCCAAAATCTTGCGACACTCATTGAACCCTTAAGGAAACTAACTCAAAGGGAGGGACCTTTGGTGTGGAACAGTAAACAAGAATCGGCTATTCAAAAGATTAAAGAGAACCTAGCAAGTACTATAATGTAAAGCATACTTTAAAACTGGTGCTAAAACACAAATAATAGCTGATTATAGCCCGATAGGATTAGGAGCTGTTCTTGTACAAGAATAAGATGGTCAGCAACATGTGATATCATAGTTTGACTAGTGTGGAGCGACGCTATTCGCAAACCGAAAAGGAGACGCTCGCCTTAGTATTGACATGAGAACGTTTCCTTATGTACAATGTACATATATTGCATAGACGTTTAGTTGTTCACACATCACAAACCACTTCAGTACATATTCACACTCATCTAAAACCTGTGCACGCGTTGAACGATGGGTATTGCGATTACAACCCTATACCTAAATAGTGAGACATATGGCTGGTCCTAAGAATATAGCGGCCTCCCTATCAAGACTGTTGCAAAAAGATCAAGGGATACAACTCAGTCACACTAAAACTGAGGAGTATGTAAAATTTGCGCTGGAAACGAGCATAACGACAGCAATGACAATACAGGGAATTAAAGAGGATTCCCTAAATGACACAAATCTTCAAAACATTAGGGAATGTCTGTTAAAAGGGAAATGGCATTAACCTGAAAACAAGGACTTCCTCTTATTGAGAGATGAATTTTGCAGTGTATGTAATATTGTTCTGCGAAGATCCAGGATAGTGATACAGAAGTCACTGCAAAGTCGCATCCTAGAATTAGGTCATAGAGGACATTCGAGTATTGTTCTGATGAACCAAAGGTTGAGAATGAAGGTGTGGTGGTCAAAGATGGATCATGTAATAAATGGCTATTGTACAAGTTGTTTTGGATATCAACTAGTTAGTACACCCTCAAAACCAGAACCGATGAGTCGTACAGACTTTCCATCCGGACCGTGGCAGCCTATTCCTGTAGATTATCTTGGACAACTTTCAGGAGATTATCCTCTTGTATTTGTAGACTATTATTCACGACGGGTTTAAGTCGTTACTATCAAGTAAGTCTACAACAGTAGAGAAAACTGTCAAAACGTTTTAGAAATTACATTTTGAGTGGGCTGCTTAAAAAGTACACCAAGGAGACTGACATCAAACAACACAGTACAACCCAACTGTGGTCTCAAGCCAACGGAGAAGTAGAACATTAGAATAACCCAGACAGAACACAGGAACTGGAAAGAAGAGCTACAAACTTACAAGGTTATGTACAGATCTACACCACATTCTGTTACTGGAGTCAGCCTAGCAGAGCTCTTATTTGGCAGGTAAATCAGGTCAAAAATGTCTGATCTGCAGGACTCTCATTCATCAGTGTCAAAGGACATCGAGGTCAGAGATTGCGATTCAGAGAGGAAAACTTCAGGAAAGTTATATAATGATAATAAACGCTGAGCACCAGAAAATGAAAGCAAAGTAGTTGATAAAGTGCTAGTATAACGACCACGTGAGATAAAATGTTTGCAACATTNACAGACAGAACGCGATACATGACGCGATACATAACGCGATACAGAACAAACAGAACGCGAACCTGAACCTAACGTACAAAGTAAACCGCGAGATGTGTTGAAGGAAACTGATGATAAATTTGATTACGAAATAGAAATAAAAGACACAAACACTGATGCTTATGTGAATGAAAGACCTTAAGACGGTCAACGAGATGAAAGAAAGTTCCTTTACAATTAAAAGACTATGCTATGACTTATAATTATAATTATAAATATATATTCAAAGGATTGTCCATCTTATGAATTATCTTAAGGACTCTGTGTGTTATATTGTGTTTAACATTTACATTTTATGTTGTAATTGTTTTCAAAAGACTGAAAAAAATGAACTTTTCATGTACATATATGTTGATAATGTGTACAATATCAAGTTGGTTCAACTCAAACTCTATAAACAGTTATAATTCATTCTGTCTACCAACTGTTCTAAAAACGAGATATTTGTTCATTGATTTTCAAATGTTTATTGAGTATAGGAAATAACCAATAATAATAATGTCATACTCAGTTATTGTTTCCTTGTTGAAAAGTTTCAAGTATCAGTATTTCATCTGGTTTTGATTAAAAAGGAGAGATTATAGTGATGTACAAGCATCTTTAAAGCATACTGTATTTGACATGCGCTGTGTGTGTGAATAAACCGGACGTTCCATGTGAGACCTGCATTAGTTATGTTTGTACTTTGTACAGACGTGGTTAAATGTGTTCCATCAAGCATCATTTTATGGCTGAACACAAGAATAGAGATGCCTAAAAAATACGGTTTCCAATGTGTACTTACAAATTAATCATTTGGTCATGGAAAAAATGGAAAAAGGCTGCCTTACCAGAGTCACTTACCCCTGAGAACTCATGATGTTTACTAACTTTTCAAATGTAGGTTGATTCTTCTCACAACAGCTAGGAAGAGATATGTTCTATTTCGGGTTCGCACGGACTTAGATCTGGAAAGCAATTTTTTTTTTATTATATACCCTGTGAATAAGCATTTAAGATGCATTTAGTAAGTCATTAAAGAAATTGAAACAGTTAATGTGCCAAACTTCTATTTCATTTATTTAGGTACATCATTTATATACGGAAGCCAGTACGTCGTATTTACGAGATAGTTAGTCGTTATTACGAGATAGTAAGTCGTTATTACGAGATGACTGAGTCGTTATTACGAAATAGTAAGTCGTTATTATACGATATAGCAAAGTCGTTATTAGAAGATAGTTAGTCGTTGTTAAGAGATAGTAAGTCGTTATTACGTGATAGCTAATTCGTTATTACGATATAGTAAGTCGTTATTACGACATAACATTTTTTCTCGTACTTGCTTCCGTAGTATTACCAAGATCAAAAGAATAACATTCGTTTCTAAACTATTCCAAAACACAGACAGAAAAGTGGTAAAAAAGCCGTTATAAATTGCGATGATTTTTCCGAATTAACAGATCATGTATTCATTAACAAGCATTTAGAGGAAATAGTGATAAAACAAATACCATCTATAATTATGCATCCATTCTGTGATATAGAGAAGTGATAATCTGACAGATAGCTAATTCGTTATTACGATATAGTAAGTCGTTATTACGACATAACATTTTTTCTCGTACTTGCTTCCGTAGTATTACCAAGATCAAAAGAATAACATTCGTTTCTAAACTATTCCAAAACACAGACAGAAAAGTGGTAAAAAAGCCGTTATAAATTGGGATGATTTTTCCGAATTAACAGATCATGTATTCATTAACAAGCATTTAGAGGAAATAGTGATAAAACAAATACCATCTATAATTATGCATCCATTCTGTGATATAGAGAAGTGATAATCTGACAGAAAAAAAGGTTGAACACCTATGTATACAATAAGTAAGTCGACACACTGAGCAAAACAAAACGAACGGTTACTGCGACATATAATGCATTTTGTTATTATACATCTACTTTGTTTTGATATATTCAGCTTTAACGATTTGTTTTTATCATCTTAGGCAATTCTTTTGTCTAAAGACTATTCGGGGGATATATACCTAACAAGCCTCAGTAAAATATTATTAAATTCTTAGTTAAACAAATTATTGCAAATGTTGCACAACTCACCAAGGTGTGATGTATTATTTCTTTTATTTAGAGAAACGCATAACGTGTAATTTAATATACTAATGGATCTACATTTGTATTAGCCATTATATGTGCAAGTATCAGGTACACTGTACTAGAATAACAATTCCAAAGAATTTATATACTTTTCATATTTAAGTGTGTTCCTTAAAATTTGTGTAAATGAGAACGTTTTGAAATAATAAAATGGCCCAGGTCTAGTCGTAACACATGAACAGTGATCCAGAAAAAAACGCCCACATTATAATCATAATGTGTGAAAAGAGGTTGTAACTATGAGCCATGGTGCTGAACACATCCACCAAATAATCAGGAGATAGGCTGTGAATTATTTGTTGTTTGGTATCAACTTTACCAATAACACAAATGACACATATGTGATGAATTGTGAAGTGCCTGTGAAAAGGGCGAGTAACCCCCCGTTATACATCCACTGGTAATAGGCTATTGACATATATATTCTGTATACGATATTCTGTTCGTTTATGAAGATTAATATGAATCTCCGATCCACTGCCAAATTTTCTGAATTGGATTTTTTATCATCATGAAATAAATAATTTACAAATAGAAACCTATAAAAAAAATCGTAGCACACTCTTCTTAAAACATGTATAGATATCTATGGAGGCTCATTTGTGTCAGTTTGTTATTCCGAAGCAAAATAACCATCATTACCGTCATTTCGCGTCGTTAAACGTCATCTTTGCGCAGAAAAATAATTAAACAACGAAAAAACTTACGCAAGTTATCAATTAAACGCTATTAAGCGATCACGACATATTTGCCCCGCTAATTAAAGCTATTTCGTTTCGATAAACCGATCATCGTTGTTATTTTGGCCCGAAATTACGATTATAAGCGAGGAGAAATAAGTCGGGTCGAGTATTTGCGTTATTTCGTGGAAGGTTTTTATGTTGATTCGTTACTTTGTTTAGGTTGGGGATGGGGGTGTTGTTAAACGGGGCGAAAATATATAATGCAATTATCGTTTTTTGTCTACGAAACAACGGAGTTGTACATATCAGTCAACAAACCTTCACATACAGTGTCAAAATATAATGTTCCTATCATCAATATCTTCATTCATTCTAGTTGTTCACATACAATTTAATTTTCATTCTTCATGCATTACCGGTTACAAATGACCAAGTTGGAAACAAATCATAGGTATATTTTTAATGACGAACTGGTCGGATTTGTTTTTATTAAACCTGCCTTATGTACTTTATATACGTTTCAAGTCTCTCTCTAACTCTGCGATTACATTTTTATTTTGATGTGCACCCGGAACGAGAAAAGTTTTTAATATATTATTATCTGGTCCAAAAACAAAAATGTAAAAAAAAAAAGCATAAGAAGACAGCTTAATGCCGAGATATTGACGTGTAGAGTGTACGATTTTCACCTGTCCTTGTATGGTGAATGGAACATTTGTCTGGCTGTGACGTCACAAGTTCAATGGCTGTGGTAGCCACCATTCAAGGAACAGACGAGATCAACAACAGTTAAACAGCGTCAGATTTTGCTTAAAACCTGCCTTAAATTGAATATCAGCTACTCGATCAGAAATACTCACGTTTTAGCATAGGTCGTTCAACTGCATTTTTCACAATATGTTCTGAGTACAAAAAAAAAACTACATGAAAAGCTGGCTTTTGTGGTGTAGACACAGATTTGTAAATGGACAAAAACGTAGCCTCAAACCAAATTCGAACATTTTTTTTAAAATGTGAAGCCCACATAGTCCACTTCATCATGTATATTCCAATTTTAGTGCTGAATTATTTGTTTTAAACTTTGATACATGTAATATTACATCGGTTATTCATTGTACAAAAATAGCACCCATTGCCACCGTACGCTACTGTACACTGTTACCTTATATGCACTGCATGAAAGTACTCATTTGCACTAAAAGTAGATATTAGAGATAATCTTAAGCAAGGAGTTGTGCTATGATGAGGAAATGTGAATGTGTGACCATTTTGGCAATTTTACTTGTTACAACGTCAATATGGCTTAAATAGGTTCATTTCAAATACATATTTAATTATAGTTCTCTTGTACTACACTACATTACAGTTCCCTGATTCAACAAATGTCAATTCTCGTCGTTTTTAAGTAAGATTTTTGATTTCTCAGCTTTGCTAAACATTTGTTATTTTGAACGGAGAGAGCAAGTGAACAAGTAAAACTGAAGACATATTTAACTCTCGTTTGGAATCATTGACGGTTCCACAATGAAATAATTTCAAAAAGTTTTACCTCTATTAAACTAACCATACTCATGAACTGTCTTTGCATTATCAAAAATGTACAGCAGAACAAATACTGGAATATGGGAGGGGGTAATGGATTGGTATGCAGTGGAAACCAGGAATGAATAATTATACACGTGATCATCAGATGATAATATCATATTTCTATATTGCAATGAGTATGTGGAACACAATTCTGTCTAAATACTTGTCCATTGAGAATCAAAATTTAATGTTAAAGTTTCTGTATACGACATTCTGTTCGTTTATGAAGATTAATATGAATCTCCGATCCACTGCCAAAATTTCTGAATTGGATTTTTTATCATCATGAAATAAATAATTTACAAACAACCTATAAAAAAATCGTGAAGAAAAAAAGAAAATGAAAGAAACCTGCAACTGTGGTTTGGGAGTAGAAATGCAACGAGACCAGAACAACAACCAACTGCTGACTATCCTCTTCATTAACCCCAGTTATCGAAAACAAAAACTATAAAAAAGTGTTTTGGTTACTTTCATAATTTACGTGTTTTACCGTGATTGTGAAATGTTATTCATTATGTATTAGTGTCATTGTGAAATATATGACGTATTTTTATGTTTGTAGAAAGTACATCTCGATGTTAGGTTTAAACTGTGCAGTTCGTGATTATGCATTCAGCAGGTTATCGTGGAGTTCAGTTGATTTACATAATGGCTTTTTTCTAAGTGGAATTGTACGATAACTGTGAAGTGTTTTGTTGAATTGAAAAGGTAATTTTGCATTAACTCTATATCGCATAGTGGAATGCAGTGCCTACATGTATTTTTTATATTTTTAACAGGTGTCCTTATTGTTTTTTTGTCGCCTACAAAATTCTCGAAATATAGACGTAACTTTACTTGGATTTGACATGTAATTATACCGCGAGGTTCGTCGATGAAATAGAAGACGCTTACTCCTCGGGAACACATGGCCTTGTTCTCCTTGTTCTTACACGATTTTGAGCTCGAATTCAGGTTTCGTTGATACTTCGTCGATATTCTCTGCAAGACTACTGCCATTCGTTAATAGGGACTCAGTATGGTTTAAAAATGGCACTGACAGTGTATTTGTCACAACTTATTCCTTTTTACTACATAATGTTTATTGCAACCATTTCCTGACCCGTTTTATACAAGCTGTCTCTGCAACTACAGAAGCTTCAATCGTTTCTTTAGTGGATGACCTTACTGTATGGGTCGACAATACCTCCTTATTAGGAAAGTATAATCAAGATACACCGCCGCAAATATACATGGTTATCTCCATTCAATTCAGTTAAAGCTACAGAAACAACAACTTAAACACATACGCAGTGAAGTTGAATTAACATTGTTCGTTTTTGGGGACAGACTATTGTTCGTGACGTCATTAACAATCAGTTCCATTACGTGTCGGGTTTAGTCGGGGTAATTGACGTCATTAGCTATTGTCGACAGGGCTTCATTTGCAATGAGAAATCTGTGATNAATCTGTGACTATATCGTCGTTTTACCGTCACAAATTATATCAATTTACCAATAAATTAGAACGTTTTTTTACCACTCACTTTCGGTTGCTACATATAGCCGTGCGTTTTGTCGTCCATATTTATATCGTCTTTTTCTTTATTTGGTTTATTTACCAAAATTGTAGGGATTCTCGCGTTCTAATATTAATCCAGCTAATCCAAACTAAAACAATTTTATTTTATTTTACTTCTTACTTTCCAACTGAGCCAATCTATAGATATAGACTAGAAGATTAATACAATTATCCAATCTTATTTTTACAAGAAATACAAAACATACAATCCCATCTCATTTTGACAAGGAATATAAAATAAATTATCCCTTCTCATTTTGATAAGGAATATAAAATAATCAATCCGTCTTATTATGACAAGAAATATAAAATAAATCATTCCGTCTTATTTTGACAAGTAATATAAAATAAATAATTCCGTCTTATTTTGACAAGGAATATAAACAAATTATTTATGTGATCTGTGATACAAAGTTACGTGATCTGATTTGTTCTTGTAATGTTAAGCATCGGATATCTTTGACTAAGTTTTCTTTATGTGTCTGTTTCAATAATAATGAAAGAATACGTTCACATATGACAACATACCTTTTTTCGTCCAGGTAAATTGTAAATCTAATTATATGTGCTCTACCAGATGTCTGCAGGTAGCCTTACAGCTACGTTTATCCAGCAAATCTTAGCACACTCTACTTAGAACATGTATGAATATCTATGGTGGCTCATATGTGTCAGTTCGTTATTTTGAAGCAAAACCACGATAATTACTGTCTTTTCGCAGCATTAAACATCGTCTTTGCGCAGCAAAATAATTTAACAGCGCAAAGCTTACGCAAGTGATGAATAAATGGCTGTTAGCGATCCCGACATATTTTGCCACACTAGTTGACGTTATTTCGCTTCGATAAACCGATAATCACTGTTATTTCGGGTCGAGTAAGTATTTTTGTTATTTCGTGGAAGGTTTTAACGTTGTTTCGTTATGTTGTTGCGGGAACAGGGTGAAAGTGGAGTCGGGGGTGGGGGTAGGGAGGTGACAGCGTAGAACTTGTAACGTCACAGATGTGGGCTACCCGTATCGAGGCGATCACCGATGAGGCAATCGTGTGCTTGTTCAAACATATGGCGAGACCTTTGCATTGATTTCACTAACATTCGTGCACATATTTTAGCCTGTCTCGGTTCGGGTCGAACATTTCCATTTGATGTCTTAAAACTTAGAATGCCAAATTACCACTGATATTAGTCCCATATTGATGATTGACGTTCCTTACTGGTAGCATTTCATGTTAAGCAACAATGTCTATGAAATCAATGAATTTCGAATATTAAAACTTCAAATATGTCCCTCGAGGTGCAGGTTTTTCAGGCAATTTTTGCTTGAACTAATTCACAAGAAGTAATGTAGTAGGGTAGTTTTGGGGGTCTTCACACATTACTCCTAATTACTCCACATTTACTCCACATTACTCCACATTAATCCACATTTACTCCACATTACTCATCATTACTCCACATTTACTCCACATTACTCCACATTTACTCCACATTACTCCACATTACACCTACACATTACTCCTCCACATTACTCCACATTACTCCTACACATTACTCCACATTACTCCTACACATTACTCCACATTACTCCACATTACTCCTACACATTACTCCACATTTCTCCACATTACTTCTACACATTACTCCACATTATTCCTACACATTTACTCCACATTACTCCACATTTCCTCCACATTACTCCACATTTACTCCACATTACTCCACATTTCCTCCACATTACTCCACATTACTCCTACACATTTACTCCACATTACTCCACATTTACTCCACATTACTCCACATTTACTCCACATTACTCCACATTACTCCTTCACATTACTCCTCCACATTACTCCACATTTACTCCACATTACTCATCATTACTCCACATTACTCCACATTACTCCACATTTACTCCACATTACTCCACATTACTCCTACACATTACTCCTCCTTATTACTCCTACACAGCAGGTTACAGAATATTTTACGATACGTTTTAACAAAGACACATCCGATAAGAGATATAAGTAGCTAAATAATGAAGGACACATCATTCTGTAACAGTGTAATGTTGGCAAGAAGTTTAAGAACACCAAGTATATCGTCACAAGTCTTTTTTAATGGTTGCTTTAGCGACATCTTTATCCACTTGTTTCTCTTTTGACGTTGTTGTGATTACAGTACAACTCTCGACAACAGACCTTTCTTGCATACAAATTACATAATAATACAACTTTGGACCAAGACCGACAAACTCTGAAATGTGATGTGATGACGTTTCGTCTTTAAAGTATCCCGGGATTTTTTTGTTTGATGAATCGTGACAAGGGTGAGATGGTGGATAATCAGACAAATCATACACATGGCTGTCCTGGTGAAGATCTGAGTAACGATCGAGGGTTTCAATTTCGATACCGAACGAATCGGTGTCTGTAAATAATAACTTCATTCCGTCATGATATTTCGGCTTGAGATATTTGTAATAAAATTCATATATGACTATTTTCGAGAGCTCTAGAATGGCTTGTCCAGCATATACCGGTTTGTTCAGTAATAATTTGGTTTTTGCATTCTCAATACCCACCAAATTCTCGCTAAAGATTTTTAAACGTTCAAAAGACGGTTTTGCACAAAATTTTTTTTATTTTTTTCTCAGTATGAGCTAACTTTATATCTACTCGATTCCTAACATTCTCCATTGTTTTACCGAACACGGCATTGTTCATGAGCTTAAAAAAAAGTTTTTCTCAAAGTCATTTTGCGATTCAACCCTTCGTTGGGAATTAAATAAGATATAAGGCCTTAGCCAAGGTTGTCTAAACTCTAAAATTTTATGAATTTTGGTAAGCCTCATGCCGAGATCTAGATACAGCTGCAGATTCCTATAATGACAGATATATTTTGTTTTATTTTCTAGATTTGGAATTAGGTTTTCCGTTTTTACGCGACCTTTTAATTTGGGATTGGAATGGCTACCATGTAATGTGTCCCAAAGGTCTCTACTGTATGGGGAGAGTTCATCGTCAGAAACTTTCTTCCGCTCGGGAGCTAGAGGGTAGTCGATGTGTGCATCGTGTAATGCAACGGGATACTCTAAATCCACCTCTAACACGTAGCCCAAGTCTGCCTCTTTTGAAATACTGTCAATGTCAAATTTCTGTATAATTTCAACCCAGCGGAAATCTCCCATGGGTAATGGTTCCATCATTGCTTTCCCATATAGATTATTACAGTCTGTATATAGAATTTATGTGTTTGGTTTTGATGCATCGTACGTTTCAGGAATGTATGGGTTGTTGGCTTTCGAGTACTTGTTAGATATCATAGATACGCCGCCGCGATCACCACCCTCAAAGAATAGATACATGTTCGGATCGGTTAGTAATTCTAATTGCACACCTGTCATTTTAATGCTGCATTCCAAGCTAGACCGGGGCTAGTATAGAATTGGCACGGATCTAATCCATAATAATTTAAACACGTAGTTCTAAAATTCTCAAAGATATCTGTTAGGAGAAGTACATCTGTTTTTAAATACAAGTCGTGATATTCTCCTAAATTTTGAATATGTAATTCGTTCCAAACACGTTGTGCATGAACATGGTCAGAATCTGATATGTGAGATTTGCTCAACTGACTATAAAATTGTTGTTGTGATGGGAGTTGTGTTTCACTGAATTTACTTTCCTCGGTGACATACTCGTATGAGTAACAGTTCCGTCTGAGGTTTAGTAAATTCTTTTGAAAAATGTTTGAACTTGGAGCTTCTTCCCTTTGCTAAATTACTAACCAGTGAATCTAAACTTTCTGACATGAAATGAAATGAATCTATAAATCGTAAACTTCCTAAACTAAATGAAATATATTTTCCATGTTGTTTGGTATACATTTGATTTCATGATCTCTGAATTGACCTAAACTTTCGCATCAGATATGACCGTCAAATCCTTTCAAATTATGAAAAACTACAGGGATGAAAGAAGGATGTTGATATTGTATGTTACAAATTTAACATGCTGCCGATCTATATTTCCCCGTTAAATGGCAGTGGTCTCTTACTTTGATGGAATCTCTCGGGAAATACTTATTTCAAATATGACATTTTTCGAAACTTTGAAAATGACGCTCATCTTCCTCCGTCATTTTGAGTGGCTCGACATGCTTTAAAATGTTTTTGATAAGGTGCTGCTCTTCAATCAAATTTTCTAGAAATGTTTTACTAACATTTGACCCTCGATAAACAACGGGGGAGTTAGTGTACCTCTCATCCACACACACAACCTGTTAACCAAAACCACAAGGTTCACATTTAGTATTTGAAGTCGTACTAGACGTTTGAGGATTGGGCAGACAAGAATCCATCTTTTGTGTAAAAGTTTCAAAATCTGCATAGATTACAATTTTCTTCTTGAACTTAGCTGGTGGTGTGATGTTTACAGTTCGACGTTTCTTGTTCGACTGATGATAGGGTGTATTCCGCTTTCTTTTTATCTCGGATTTGACTTGTTCTATCACCTGTTGAGTTGGTGAAACTAGATTTATACCAAGGTTGTGTAATGCTGTAGTTTTCTCACATTTGACATTATCAATGGGAATCATGAACTCCTTAGTGTTGGTAGATATACCACCTCCATGCTGTTTCACTTCTCGATTGATATAGATATATGGATTAATTTTACCACTAGTAACGTTTTTGTAATACTTCATCCATTTTTCCACATTGGGAACGTACATGTTTGAAACATTCATGAGTAAAACGGATATGATTCGAAATGTAGTGTTATCGTCACCGATTGTTTTAGAAATGAAGGAACTTCGCCTTTCTCATTTGTTATAAATATTTCGATGCCTCTAATCTCTGATTTATTTACAGGTTCATATTGAAAGATCGTGAAAGATTGGGTCCAGTTAGCTTGCTTGTACGACTTCACCATCCGGAGGAGACTTTCCTCTTCACCATCGATGATAGATCCATCACTTACGTCGCAATGTACGTATAAGTTTTCCTTTGTTTTACCAATTCCAACTAAATACATGTCTGCCAACGCTACCTGCCAGAGTCCAGGTAAATACAGGGGAGATTGTAAATGAGTGCGGTTCATTATCTTGAAAATATTCCCTGTTCTTATTACTGTTGATTGTGACGTCTTGCGTCATGATCAATGTCTACAGTATCAATATTGGTATCTGCATCGACATATGAATTATATTTGGTAGGCCACCCCAATCATTTTACTAGCCACTGTTTTCTACCACTTATCTTGCGCGTCTTGATTTTTTTCTATATGTAAAATAGTGAATCCATGTTATTATCAACTCTCTGCAATTCTGATTCATAAAAGTTACCTTTGATTACTTCGTTTAGAAAATCAATCAGCTGATATTGGGGAATACCCTGCAATAGATATCGTCTTTGACCACTGTTGTTGATAGGCACGCTTAAATAGTTGTTTTTGCGTGAGATATTCGAACGAGACTTCCTTTTTTGAAACCGTATTTGATCCTCTCTTTGATGGGGGGCTTAGCTGGTTTCTTTGATTGATGTTTCATCGGTTTCTTTCTTAAGTACAGATATGCAAAAATATCTGCCTGATTTTCTTTGTTGACATTTTTAGGAG